GCCAGGTTTGGGGAAACGTAAGGCTCGAGTACGCCAGAATTCGGGTTCGCCTACGCTTTTTGACGAGCCCGCTCTGGATTTTTTGAGGATCCAGTGTTCGTGGTATGTCTGCAGCGGGAGCTCGCGTCAAATTTCGGAGCAGGTCCCGTCGTTTTCCTGAGAGCCCCGTCAGGCCAACCCGAGTCCCCCGAACCCGAGCTTTACGTCTCCCCAAACTTGGCGCAACCGCAACCGCACCACCACGGCCAGAGACCACAGGGTGTGGTCTCTGGCCGTCGAGACACGAATGGCGATGTAGGTTTTGGTACTGTAGGTGGGGGATGGTTCGTGGCCAGCCCGATTGTAGGAAAGCGTTGTTCGTGGTTTCCTACAGCTTGTCCTGCGCGAGTTCGGCGTCGCAAAAGCCACGTTCCCAACATCGCCGTTGAGCAACATCGCTTTTAGCGTGGCCTTGGTCTGGGGCCGTAGGTGGAGTACCATGAGGGGCACGATCGGTGCGACGGCTAAGCTGGAGTAAGTGGGGGACGCTATTGAGGCATGTATGCCCATTGTTGGGCAGCTCTTCCCACGTGGCAATTCGCGGTGGAGTGGTGTGTGTGTGTGTGTGTGTGTGTGCGCGCCCATCTACGATCGGCGCCGTCAGGGCTTGGGGGGGCACCACCTTACGCCAAGGGCTCGTCGGGGCGCGGCGGAGATCTCCGTGGAGATCTTTTCGCCTGCGCCCCAGGCCTCTAAATGGGTGCGGTTACGCGAGGGTGTGGTCTGCGATTGGCACCGTTGGGGCTTGGAGAGCGTTTTTTAACTCCCGGGCGAGAACGGGCGTTACCCTGGAAGGGGGGGGGGAGAGGGGAACGTCACGTTTCTCGCCGGCGTCGTCTGGGAATGGCTAGAAATAAGCAAAGACAACTCGGAGGTCAGCACGAATCGTGACGTTCACCGGGGGGGGAGCACTAACGCGAAAAATGCAAAACTATTTTTTTGGCGGGGGGCACCTTGCTCCAAGGGCTCGTCGGGGCGCTGTGCCGCTTCTGGGCCGCCTGGGGAGGCGACTGCGATGAGCGTGGTTTTGCACCAGGGTGTGGTCTGCGATCGGCGTCGTTCGAGGCCTCTTAGATGGGGTCCGCGTAGATGGGATCGGAGGATCGCCAGTGCGTCGGCGATGCGGCTCGATGCGGAGCCCGACTTTCTCCACGCCGATGGCGCAAATACATCGCCGACGTCGCCGATGCCTCGCAAGTGCATCGGGGATGCGGCGCGATCCTCCGACCCCATCTACTCGGACCCCATTTGGGAGGCTTCTAAATTGGTGCCATTACGCCAGGGTGTGGTTGGCGATCGGAGCCGTTGTGGCTTGAGTAGGCACCACCTTCTGTGAAAGGCTCGTCGGGGCGCGGCGGAACACTCCTTCGAGGTCTTCGCCCGCACCCCTGGTGGCGTGTTGCAAAGCACACCCGTTGCAAGCCACACATCTCGGAGTCGCCGACTGGGCGGCGGCGCAGATGGGGGTCCTTTTGGGGGTGCGAGGTCCGCTCATACGCCCGTCGCACGGAGAAGGACGGATTGGGTGGGAGGGGTAGGATTAAGTTGGGCGTGTCCCTTTACAGGCGGAATGTTCAAACACGTTTTCCTATATTAAAAAAAGGTTGACTGATTGTTTTAGTCTTGTTTGACTATTTTTCTTTTTTCGTCCAGAATCCGCCCGTAGGGGGACATGCCCAGCCCAAGGATAGGATACGCGGCGGGAGGGCGAGGGGTGGCGGGCCCCCCCCGCCTCCAGGGAAGCCTTCCCAGGAGCCTCCACGGGCCCTCTTGAGCAGGCCCATGCCTTCCAAGGAGCCCCGGGCCTTCTTCATGGAGGCCGCCCCTCCTCCTCCTCCTCCTCCTCCTCCTCCTCCTCCTCCTCCTCCCCTCCTCCTCCTCCTCCTCCTCCTCCCTCCTCGCCTCCCTCCTTGCCCTTCTCCCTCCCTCCCTCCCTCCCTCCCTCCTCCTCCTCCTCCTCCTCCTCCTCCTCCTCCTCCACTGTTTCCTCCTCTTCTTCTTCCTCCTCCTCCACCTCCGCCTCCTCCTCGTGCCACGCCCGTGCGCGTTCCGCCGAGGAGTCGGGCCCACAGAGGGCGGAGTTCCGTTGGACGCAGCCTTCTGTGTCTTCCCCCCAAGCAGCCTGTTGATGGGGGGTGCTGTTGTGACCGTACCTAGGTTCTGGTCGAGGAGCGCCCGCCCAGAGGCGTCCTCAGACAAGTTTGGTTGTCCGGGCCGCTCCGCCTGATGCATGCTCACAGCTCAGTTTGCCGGGATTGGGCGTTGCATTTTTTTTTTTTTTTTTGTTTTCCAGTTTTCGGTATCTGGTGCTCGTTTTCGGAATCAGAGGCCGTCAATGGACGCCTCTGGATGGAGAAGCGGCCCTGGGGGAAAGGCTTTCGGACGCCGTTCGGCCGTCGTTCGAGGTCTTCGGTTGAGCCTCTCCGACGCTTTTGTAGCTTCCTGGAGGGTTCCCAGCCTCGGGATGCGTTCCTGCAGCCGTGCCGCTGCGCCTCGCAGAGGGCGTTCCAGGGGTGGCCGAATTGTCCCAAACCGCCGCCAGAGACTCGATATGTGGCCCGACAGCCAGACTCCCTCACGTCGTGGACCATCCTCGGGATGCGGTCCTGTAGCTGCGCCTCGCAGAGGGCGTTCCAGGGGTGGCCGAATTGTCCCAAACGGCCTCTGGAGGCCCGAGTTGTGGCCCGACAGCCAGACTCCCTCGCGTCGTGGAGAGATCGCAGTGGGAATTGTTTCGCAATTGCCGAGCTCTAGAGGGGCCCTTGCCCAGCCCAAGGGCCATACGAATATTCGACGCGGAGATCCCGCGATGTGCATCTCATGCTATTCCTGGCGCATCTCGCTGAGGGACACTGTTTTTCCACATCTGGGTGCGAGAGCGAGTCCGCGTAGACGACGGGGGCGAGATAGACTGCGACGACAATCGCATGTCAGTCTGCCTCGGCAGCACTGGCGTCCGCCGAGCCGTAAAGCTGGTGGCCACAGGAGCTGTGACCGAGATCCCGGCTCCTGGGAGGGTTCCACAATGAACCAGGGCTGGACCTAAACGCTGTTTTTGCAGTTTTCGGCTGTGTTTTCTTTTTTGTTTTGGCAGGGAGGTACAGGAAAACAGGTAGAGCAAAACGAACAACAAAACGAAAACAAAACGAGAAACACCGTCTAGGTCCAGCCCTGCAACGAGCAATTTGCAAGGATGTTCCCCAGAGACCGAAACTTGCGAAACACCTACTCAAGCCTAAATCCTCTCCCTCCTCCTTCTCCACCGTGGCACTCACGGTGCCCGCTGCTGGCATGGGGGAGGGGACCTGGGGAGTCAGCCTGGGGGGCCGAAACAGGCCAACCGCCCTAGACATCCCCACGATCAGGGCCCGACTCCTGGGGTGTCCCCACCCTTCGCGGCTGAGAGACAAGTCCGGGGGGAAGACACAGGCCAACTCCTGAGGCATCCGCAGAGTCTGGGGACGAATCCTGGAGTGTCCCCACCTCACCTCTGGCGGCTCCCCCTTGGGGGGCCCAAGTGCCCCGCGTGCTATTGCACGAGAGAGTCTGATTGTGAGTGAGTCTGAGTGAGTCTGAGTGCGAGTGAGAGTTTACTTGAGTGAGGCTGAGGCAGGTTGAGTGACTGAATATGGCTGAGTCTGAGTATGAGTGATTCTGAGTATGAGCGAATCTGCGTATGATGTGAGTGAGGGAGGAAGAGTGATGTGAGTATCAGTTGGATGCGAATGATCTGAATATATAGTATAAGGGGCGTCCAGGCCCCCTGGCCCAGGGGAAGTCCACTTTTCCAAACCCTCCCCCCACCGGGTACCCACTTTCGCCCCAGGGGTCGTGGGTCTCTTTTCGGCGCCCGGGGAGATTTTTTCGGCCTCAGGAACCGTCCAAGACAGTTCCGGCATGCGAGCGGCCCCCAAGTGGCTTGTGGACGGCCCCGGACGGATTCCAGATGCTCCCAAGAAGGCTCCAAGATGGCCTGTGAAGAGATCGGCCGAGGCTCACAGCGTGCCGAGTTTTCTGGTTTGTCCCACACGTCTCGCCACCCACGGCCTGCCCAGGCAGTCTCTCTTCGCTGCCACCAGGGGACCGCTCCCGGCAGGGAGTGGACGTCAGGCCGCTCGCTCGCTCGCCCTAATATGAAGTCGGGCGTGTCCCTCTACAGGAGGAGTATTCTAAAACTGGCAAGCTATAGCCTGGGGGCGTTTTCTTCTCGTTCTGCTTGACCATTTGTGAATATTATGTGTGTCGAGCATGTCTTATGTTTCCTCCAACATCTGCCTGTAGGGAGACACGCCCGACCTAGCCCTAACCGATGGTCAGGGCGGTCGGCATCAGGTTGGTTGGCCAGTCCCCGCTCGCCCTCCGTTCCCCTGCTGCCGTCGCCTGCCTTCCCGCCGCGCATCCCTCCTTCCCTGTTCGCACGCGTGCTCAGTGCTAAGTCGGGCATGCCCCTCTACAGGAGGAATAGTCAAAGGAATCTTCATGTCAGGGGACGATTTTTGTTGCTTTACTTACAACATACAGATATACAAGTACATTTTTGGTCCCAACTTAGCCTGTAGGGGGACATGCACGACCTAAGTTGAGTGCAGTGGTCGAACCTCGCTTCGCTGATTCAGAGCCGTGCCGAAGAGCTGCTTCGCTGATTCCGAGCCGTGCCGAAGAGGCGGGGGACGAGTTCGACGCAGATTGTGTTCAAGGGCGCTAGGGGTTAGAGAAGCCAGCGTTGTTTCATAATGAGGACGTGGGGGAGGAGGGGGGAAGATGGGAGCGGGGTGGGTGGGAGGAGAGGCGGGGGAGGGGGAAGGGCGATGTAGGAGGGGGAGGAGGAGGAGGGGGAGGAGGAGGAAGAGGAGGGGGAGCCCTGATTGGCCCTCGCGGTATAATTGTCGGCATCCTCAGGGTGTCGCGTCCCTACCGCTTGCGCTGCAGTGCCGTGTGTTGTGTCACCCTCGTTGCTTGTTTCAAGTCCTCTTCTTCGAAGAGCCAGAGTTGTCTTGGAAATACTTCAGCCCGTGCTTGGTGAGGCGTTGTGTTGTGCAGACCTGACGAGAATTAGATCGGGAGTGGCCCCGAAGCGATGCAGCAGCTGTCCGAGAGCGGTCGCAGTTTTTGTCCGTCCTGGATGCATTTCTAGCGGTCTTTGGCCCAAGGCCAATGTGGAGGAACACGTTGAACTCAGCATCGGCGCTGGTATACCTGTATACCTGTGGTCGAAATCTGGCCAAATCCATTTGATCTGGTTCAATATTGGGCCTAGACTGACTTGCTAAATAGCCTCTCGAGTGGTGCTTACTAGTTCTTACTTGTTCCCACGAAGTCCTCCGATGAGTGCCTTCCTGAGGAGGTTTGGTTATCGGCCATAACTCGGGTCTCTGGTGGCCGTTTGGGACGATCCGGGCATCCCCAGAACGCCCTCGGCGAGTCGCAGCTGCAGGAAGTCATCCCGAGGCTGGAAAACCCCCAAGAACTTACGAAAGGGCTCGAACACCTTCAAGAACGTCAGTCTGCACAGCCCAAGGCTTGACCGCTCTCGCCCGCCATGGCGGCTCGATGCCCTCGCCGCCGGGGGCGCGCCTCGGGCTCGCCGGTGGCGGCGCTGGCGGCTGCCGCGGTGCTGGCGCTCGCGCCCACGGCCGCGGCGAAGCGCGCGGCCGTCCTTCTAGCTCGGGGGTTGCCGGGAGGTGGTCCTGGCCCAGACGTCCGGCCTGTTTTGGCCAACTAGAGGTCGGGGGCGAAAAAGAGGGGGGTGATGACTAGGGGGGGGGGTGGATATCATGGCGGGGGCCATGAGATCTCCCCAGGTTTCATGGCGCCTCTTCTCATTTCATTACGTCCCTGGCTCCCCCGCTGGGCCGCGCACGTGCCGCCGGTCATGATTTGCACCCCACCTCTTGGACACCCCCCTCTTGGCCGCTCCCGATTGGACAAATAGAGGATGCACAGCGCAGCACTATTCACAGAGCGCGTTCCACTACTCGCAAAGTGCCTGCTCGCAAACGTCCGTAAACCACAGGTCTACTTGATGCAATGTATCGTGGATGCCCCGCGGGGGATCCAGGCCTTTTGCGAGTAGTTACTTTTGCGAGTAGTGGAACGCACTCGTATAACTATGGTCACTATGGATGCATTGACGACGCAACGTTTTGACAATTTTCTGGGCTATGCATAGTATTCCGCAGTTGCGGATAAGAGTGAGGGGGCAGCGGAGCCGTCGGCAGTCTGCGAGGTTCTGAAGAGGCCCGCCGCAGGCGCCGACTCATGTTGTACATCTCGCGCAGCGTGCTGGCCGCAAGGCGCCGACTTGTTCGTCAAAGCAACGTGGGTGGGTCTCGGGTGTGTCGCGGGTGGGTCGCAGGGTGGGTCGCGGGGTGGTCGCGGGGTGGGTCGCGGGTGCGTCGCGGCCGGGTCGCGGGCGAGGACGACAACAATGCAACGCAACAACAGTCCGCACCGCGGAATCCCATTTCAGCCACGCCCCCGGGGGCAGTGAATGACCGTTCGACCCCATCCTTCTGACATCTTTGTGCGAGTTTTTGGCAACTTCTGGGGTTCTTCGTCGCCACGGCTGGAGTCGCCTTGACATCATGGCCAGCACGCACCCCACGAGAGGTCCAGCGATCGAGTTTGAATCCCTGGACCCCAAACATCCAACGTCTTGAGTCATTCAAGGTGGAGGTTTCTCGTCATCCAGTTGCCTGCGGCACGTCCCGCCACCGTGCCAGCCAAGCGTTCTGGATGGCGACAGTTCGGTGGGCACGGGAGGCCGTCATGTTCCCCCAGGCTCGGGAGTGCCGCGATGATGATGATCATGTTGTTGATGATGATGATGATGATGATGCTGATGACGATGATGATGATGATGATGATGATGATGATGATGATGATGATGATGATGATGATGATGATGATGATGAAAATGATGATGATGCTGATGATGATGATGATGATGATGATGATGATGCTGCTGCTGCTGATGCCGTTGCTGCTGATGATGATGCTGATGATGATGCTGATGATGCTGATGATGCTGATGCTGATGCTGCTGCTGCTGCTGCTGCTGATGATGATGATGATGATGATGATGATGATGATGATGATGATGATGATGATGATGATCATGACAATCTAGATAATCAAACCATCTCTTCAAAACGGCTGTCATGGGGCCGTATTCGGCGGTCGTGGGACCTTCAAAAGACCGTCGTGTGTCCCTCTGGAGGCTGTCTGGGGCCGTCTTGGCGCCGTTTTGGACACCCCTTGGGCCATCGCGGGGTCCTCGCGGATCATGGTAGGACTCTGTTGGGGGCCTCTTGTGCTGTTTTGGGCCATCTTAGAGGCTTTTTGGGCCGTCGTGAACTGACGGAAGCCCTGTCAAGAACATACCCGAAATCATGGATAGGGTTTTTTTTGTCGGACCCTGTTGGGAGTCCGCTTGTGATGGGAGTCCACTTGTGGCCCTCTTGGAGGCATCGTGGGCCGACTGATGGCCATACTGGGCCGCCCTGGGGTCATTTTTGATCGTCTTGGAGGCACCTTGGGCCATCTTGTTGCCCGTGGATGCCTCCATGGGCCGTCTTGGAAGCTCGGGGCACACATCCATGGCTTTTTAAAGAGGGATCACTGCCACAGGGGGCACGGATCTATTGGTTTTGCCAGGGATCGTGGCCTCGGGAGGGAGGGGGCCGCCTGATATGCGAGCGTCGCTCTCAGCCCGCGAGTAGCGGGAGGCGCCGTCCCTTTCGCAAAGTGCAGAGACCCTACCAGACAGACCTTCGCACGCTTCCACGCCTCAGCGTGCCACGGGGGCACGGTGGCGGCCTGCGGCATCAGGAGTCCCCTTCGGGGCCCCAGGACCGCCAAACAACGATCCGGAACGCGAACACCGGCCCCGGGGTCGGGGGCGGCCAGGGGGGGGGTGATGCTTGGGGAGGGGTGGACCTCCTGGCGGGGTCCCTGCTATCTTCCCGGATCTCATGGCCGCCTGGTCGTCGTCTTCTTCTTCTTCTTCTTCTTTTTTTCTTATTTTCTTATTATTCTTTCCTTCTCTTCCTCTTCTTTTTTTCAATGCCCTTTTTCTGCTCTTCTTCTTCTTCTTCTTTCAATCCCCTCCCCCCCTCGTCCGCGCACATGCCTCGGGCCACGATCTGCGAACCTCTTCTCTCTTCCCACTTGGACGCACCCCTCCTTGGACGCACTCGAATCTTGGACGGAACAATAACGCGACTTCGGAGATTTGGGGTACCCCCTGGCTTTCGGCGCCACTTTGGAGCACCGTTGGGCCCTCTGGGCCTCGTGGGGAGTGCGCTGTAGGCCGCCGGGGCCTGCCCTGGAAAGGGTGGGGCGACCTTGGGCCAGGGACACCTCTGGCAACACCCGACTAGAGTCTCTCGAGACCGACCTGGACCGCTGCGGCGAGGTGATGACGACGAAATCGATGACGTTCGGCGGCGTCGTCATCGTCGTCGTCGTCGCCGTCGCCGTCGTCGTCGTCGTAGTCGTCGTCGTCGTCGTCGTCGTCGTCGTCCTTCCCGTCGTTTTGGAGATGCTGTTGCGCTTCTGAAGGTTTTCGTTCACCACGGATTTTTCGGGGTGGACCCAGGAGGTGTCTGGAGCCCGTTTTTGATAGGATCCTCTCGCTCCGCGGCTCGCACGTCCAGAGCACGTCAAGACTGGGCGTTGGGTGGTTTGCCCTGCTCGTCTGCTGCGGAGGTCTGCCGCGCCGTTCTGCCCGCCCGGGGGCGCTGCCAGCGCGCCGCGGGGGGGCGGACGCGCGCCCTCCTGCTCAGCGCCGGGACGAGCGTGCTAATGTCCACGAGGGCGATGAGTCACGAGTTCGAGCGTGCGACTGTCCACGAGCGTGCGAACGTTCAAGCTATGAGTCTCGTGGCGTTTTCGTGAACTGGGGGGGGGTATACCGACCTTCTGCGATCACGCCTCTACTTTGCAGCTCCGTTCGGAGCACCGTGCACTCGCTGGAGTGGCAGATGACCGCACAGCATGGAGGTCGCTGTATGGGAGCCTGGCCGACCGCCATGTTGGGCCTGTGCCAAGAAAAAAATGAGTCACAAGGCAACGCCAAGTTCAAACTCCCATGAGTATGGCAAGCCATTCGTATGCAACTCCGCGGGCCTCGTGGTGGTTTCTTGGGGCCGTTTGGGGGGCCTCTGGGTGGTTTTTTGAAGGTTCTCGGGGGCTCTTGGACGCCTCTTTGGGGCCTCCTGGACATCTTGGGGGCCCCTTGGGGCCTCTTGGGGGCCTCTTGGGCCATTTAGGGGCGCCATTCCGCCGTCTGGCCCGACCCCAGGCGTTCAAGGTTGAACGCGGCAGGCGGGTTGGAACCGGCCGACTCGAAACTATGTGCGCTATCGGAGAGCCGCGATCTCTCAATGTTGGACGATCGACGTGGTGTCAGAGATCAACGCCGACGTCGTCACGGCATGAACTTGCCGTAATTCGTGCTGCCTAGAAGGGGGAGGGGGGCAGCGACGTTGGGTGACAGTGATTACGGCTGCGTTGTACTTGTGCCAGTTGGCGCCGGTACCTTCCAGTATCACGTGATGCTTGCGAGCAGGACGCTGTGCACAGTGGTGCGCTGAACCCTGGCAGCTCTGGTCTCCAGGAAGGAGCTCAGACCTCTTGTGAGCCATGCTGCCAAACAGCCACGACGTCGGGGGTCTGGCTGCGTCACAATAGCCGTTGTGCTTGGCGAGATGCTTGCGACCGCCAGCAAGACGGTGGGGGCGTTCGTTAAGGAATGTGCCCAGGAGGCTGCAGACCCTGGAGGATTCCTTCTCTGATGAGGGCGGCGGTGGTATTCATGGCCGATGAACGATTGGAGTTCACCGGCTTCCAGACCCTGGAATCTTTAATTTATGATTCCTTGTCGAATGCCCTTTACCGCAAGCCTGTGAACATCACGCTAACCCGCGAGCGCAGCAACATGCCTGTGAATCTCACAGTGTGCTTGCGAGCACATCCGTGCGCCTGTGACCAACGCGCAAGCCTGCAAGCGTCACGGCTCCCCTTGTGGGGGCGACCGGGCTGCGAATATGACATGTCAGGTATTGAACAGCTCAGTTATGCTGCGCCCTTCACCCCATCCCTCTTCTATCTGTCCTCCTACTGCCAGTTTCGCAATAGCGCGCGAGCACCGCAGCATCTCTGCGAGCACCGCAGTGCGACTGCGACCACCAAGCGGCGAGGGAAGCCCGACCCTGCCAGTGACTCAATAGCCTGCGCGACAAGCGTGCGCATAACAGCATGCAGGACCGTGCCCACACCGCAAATGTTAGTGAGCGCCACGATCTGTTTGTGAGTACAAGCAAGGTCGTGCGACGTTGTATGGATTTTCACGAGGAGCCTCCTACGGAGGATGCGAGGAGTCCTAGTACGAGCATACAGGAGCCGGAAGGAATCCTAATAGGACGACATAATCATTCCACAAGTCTAATGGCGTCCCACTGGAACTGCAGACGGTCCCAGAATAATCGCATGGGAGCTGGAAGGAGTGAGCCCCGCCATAGCCTGCGAGTACCGCATCACGCTGTGATCACTTTCGGGCGCCTCCGTTACGGAGGAGGGGGGGGTGATTGGGGGGGTAGCATGATTTAGCCGGTAAACCAGGCGCCTGGGAACAACACGGAAAGTCTTGTTGTTTTGTCGAGTAGTCCACGGGAGGCATTACGTTTCGAGTTTTACGCAACGCGAAGCGCGAAATGATGTGACCCAGGTTCGTGCCAGCTGTCCCCGTGCGTTTGGTCCGTGTTGCCCCTGGCCTGCAGGTTGCAGCCGGCGGCAGGGAGCGCAAGTCCTCGTGGCTGTTCTGGTACGAGAACAACTGCAAATGCCCTAGGGGCTACGCCATCACTGGTGAAGTTCAGGCATGCGTGAACCTGCGGGGCGATCGGTATTATCCCGACACGCTGCCGGAAGACAAATGTTGGTGCGAGTCGCTCAAGCTGATGCACGACGAGGATGCCAGACAGGCGGACGAGTACCTGAGCGGCAGCGTCTGGAGCAATTTTTTGGGAATATTCCAGCAGGTCGGCGAGGCAGTGATGGACTGGACGAAGCTGGGGACACTGTGGGAGGATATGGGGCGGCAGCACACGCACACCTCCACGCTCAGCCTGCTCTACCTGCAGCTGGCGGGCACCAACTACGTCTTCCCGAACATGAACTTTGTGCAGGGGTTCCGGCCTCAGGCTGGTGGCGGCCAAGCGGGGCAGGCGGGGCCTGAACCCGGCCGTGTGTAACAGTGTTGTTGGCAGCCCAGTGGGGCGAATGTTGATATTCTAAGTTGGCGCGTCCGTGTTGGAGGGTTTGTGAGTAACGTTTTGTTTTGTTGTTGCGAGTCATGTTTTTGAGCTGCCTTTTTGTCGCGGCTGCTGCCGAGTGAGTTGGATCCCCTGTGTGACCACGACGCTGGTTGACGATGTGTGGATTTCCTACAACTCGGGGGCTGCGATAGGGTGAGCATATGGATCCGCATGTAGAGGCGCGATTTCCACCGATGGGGTTGACCTCGCTCATTCTTATATATATATATATATATTTATGTGCATGCGCACATGCATGTGTAGGGAGGTGCTTGGGGGTTTAGGTCGCGGGGAGCAGGGGAGCACTTGAGCTTCCAAAGCCAAACAAACAAAACAAAACAGCCATACACCGGGCTTCCCTTGCATCCTAGACCAGCAAAAATCAGAACATCCAAACATACGCATCCTTCCCTTGCACCGAGGGCAGCAAATGCTGTGTATTCTTGTTTTTGTGTTGCTACAGAAAGGAGGAAACGGACAGGAGAAGGAGGAGGATGAGGGGAATGATGGGCGAGGAGGAGGAGGAGTTGTGTTTGGAGAAGGAGGGGAGGGAAAGGATAAACAGAAGGAACGGAGAAAGAGGACGAGGAGGAGGAGGAGGAATGGAGGAGGAGGGGACATGAGGATTCATAATGTTCAAGACGAGATATATGATCTAGGGGGGTGCGACCATATATATATATATATATATAGATGTACATGTGTGTGTACACGCATATCTCAGAGAGAAGGGGCCGAGCGGTCATTTACTGTCCCTGGGTGCGTGGCTGAAGTGGGCTTCCGCAGTTCGGATTGTTTTTGCTGTTTGTTGTTTGCTGCCGTCGTCCCGCCCGCGACTCACCCGCGACCCACCCGCGACCCACCCGCGACCCACCCGCGACCCACTCGCGAACCTCCCGCGACACTCCCGCGACCCACCCAGCGACCCATTCGCGACCCACCCAAGACCCACCCGCGACCCGCCCGCAACACACCCGCGACCCACCCCGCGACCCACCTGCGCCTCGCCCGCGACCCACCCGCGACCCACCCCGCGCAGGCCCCCCTCTCTCTTATCCGCAACTGCGGGGTGCTATACACAATGTATAGTGGCCTTCGGCCCATCCCGTCGCAGTGGCTGGGTTCTTGGCCGATACTTCTTGGATGCCTGTTGGAATCTCTTAGGAGGTCGCTCGGGAACCACTTGGACGAAGTGTTGGGGTGTCTTAGAGCCCATCAAGGGCATCTTTTGGGCCTCTTGGGGGCCTTCCTGGGGCTTCTTGGGGGCCTTTAGTGGTCTACGAGATCATCTTGAAGTGGAGGGCTCGGAATGTGAGTTCATGTTCCCCCTCTTGATGCTCTTGGGCCGTTTTGGGGGCCTCGGGGGCCGTGTTGGGGCCCTCTTGGGCCGTCTTGGGATTCTCTTTGTGGCCTATTCGGCAGTCTTTCTTGGGCAGTCTTGGAGCGTGGGAAGCCCGAAAAGGTGAGAACGCCAAAAACTTTGTGATGACCACCAGGCAATGTATGATGTTGGCCTGCTGGGACCTTCTTGAACAGCCTGTTGGAGCCTTCTTGGGACCTAGTGGAGGCTTTCTTGAGGCGATCTTCTGGCTTTGGAGCGCTCTTGGGCCGTCTCAGACCCCACTTGGACCGTCGTCACGGGGGCGCCTCGGGACCTTCTCGGCCCATCCTGGGGCCCTCTGACAGATGAAACATTTTGCGGGGCGCCGCAGCAGGCCCGCGGGAAGCCACCGAAGGCACGTGGCACGCCCTAGCAGGACATCCGGCAATTTGGGGTTCAGGCCTTTTCATGCCCGGTGATTGCATCTTCAACGGACCTGAGGGCCTTCTGGACGGGATCTTGGCGCTCTCTTCGACCGCCATACTTGTGTTAAGGGGCCCGGGAGATGCCGTGCACTCCCTGGGCTCCGGTGAGGACCCGCGCCTCCTTCCCACACGTCTAGCTTCCAGATTTCGACGTGAATTTCGTTCGGATTTTTCTTGGCCAGGAATGGAGACCACAGAACATCCACGTGAAGTGCACTTTGTTGTTCGCATGAGGTCTCGGGGTTTTGCTTTAAAAAAGCCATGCGGAAATCCGTTGCGCACGTCTGCACGGTCGGTGCAGTGAGAATTCCGCGACTTCTCCACGACGCGAGGAGGTCTGGTTTTCGGTCCGCACCCAGCTGTCGGGTCTCTGGCGGTCGTTCGGGCCGATCCGCGCAGCCCCATGGCGCGATCGGCGTGGCGCAGCTGCTTGACGGGTCCCCGAGGCTGGAACACATCCAGGCATCGACGAGCACATTTTAGAGAAGCAGACACCTCAGAGTGACCTGCCGTCGTGTTTTCTCGACGACGCGAGGATGTCCAGGTCTCTCTCGCTCCAGATCGCGACACATCCTCCCCCACCCTGGGGCGGGGGTACAGTGGAGGCCCATGCCAAGAAACACCCTGCTTGCCTCCAGGGTGCCCTGGGTTTCTTGGGTTTCGATGGTCTTGCTGATTACGGAAAGCGCGACGTTCCCACGCCAAAAGTCAAGGGACGCCCTGGGGTCTCGAGGTTGGGCTTCTTGCGGAAGGCTTCTCGTGGACGGGCCTCCACTGTAGGTCTCTCTCGCCCCAGATCGCGACGAGTCCCCCCGCACCCACCCTGGGACGGGGCTCGGGGGCAGGCAGGCCCCGCGGCGGCACACCTCGGGGGGTCTGCCGTGCGCGGGTGTCCTCCTCGGGCTGCTCGGGAGAGTCCGTCTTTTTCCGGGGGAAGGTCGGAGGAGGAACAGGTATCCATACCGCTACCCTTCCCTCGCTTTCGCCTTTTAGGGCCTCCTGGGAGGCCCTCGTCGCCACCGCTGGATTCTCCTTGAAATCCTGGACAGAACGCACCCTAGGAGAGGTCCGGGGAGAAGGGTTGACCATGCAGAGCGTGGTCGTTTTCTTATTCATTGTTTTGCCGATCGGCGCGGGCACTCGCACTCACCCCCCCCTTCCATGGAGTAGATCTTGGCTGTTTGTGGCGCCTGTTTCGAGCAGGTGGAGTCCCTCCCCCTTTAGGACACACTGTTGCAAACAGTCGCATTGAGCAGAGGTCCGGAGCCAGCCCCCCCCCTTCCCCCCCTTCTGCCCGGTGTCGAAACGCCGAATAAGGAAACGCTCACAACCTTGTAACCCTTCTCAAGGGCCGTAGGCTGACCTACCAGGAAGCTGGCTTGGAACACGTGACGTGGCCAGCCCGTGCGAGAGCTGGGTGCACGTGTGGCCGCGTGCCTTCCTGGCGCTCGGCCGGGGGCCCTCCGCATCTGTATCCGGCGGTTGGCCTCCGCATGCTCTGCATGCGAACCCACCTTGCAGCTTCCTGGTACGACCTGCTGCTCAGCCAATCCCCCGCCCTGGCTGGACTCGGTGAGGGCAGCATGGCGGCAGTGCTCACGGGTGCGCACTGGAGCCCCTGGAACTCCAAGCCGAAGTGGACGCAGCCGGTGGTGGGCGAAACGCTCGGCATCGTAACGTATCAGCAGTATGCGAGGACTTGCGAGGAACAAATATACATAACTTATGTATCTTTGTTCCTCGGGGGAACAAAACCAGTATGACAGTATGCGATAACTTGCGAGGAACAAAATCATGCATCCAATTCGGGAACCATTCGGGCACAGTTCGGGCACCATAACTTTCTTGGGCCCGTTCGCCCACGACATAAGCGCACACTTTTGGCGTTGTACCCTGGCGGCGCTTCCGGCGCCGCCCTTGGCTCAGGAGGGGAAAAATCACACAGACACAATGAATCGTCGATTTCCCAGAAAATATGGGAAAATATGGGAAGTGGGGGGGAAGATTAAAACCCAGAACATATGGGCAAATATGGGGAATCCTGTTATTAGTGTCTATTTATTTGCGTGTCCCAGGGCCCCTTCATTGGCCCGCTCCGCGCGGCGGGCCAATGAATTGCGTGCAGTGCCCCGATCCAGTGAATCCGCGCTTCTCCGTGGAGGAGGAAGAAGGATCTCCGAAAGGGTTTTGCTCATGCTGGAGTCGTCCTGCGAGAGGGCAGGGGAGAGAAGCAGACCGATGTCCACACGTTTGCCCCGGTGTTTCGCTGGTCTGAGCCTCCCGGCAGGCCCTCGCCGCCAGAGGCAGGCTCGCCCTGGGATCCTGGTCAGAACGCACCCCGGGATTAGGATGTTCCAATCCACTTTAGCCTTGACCGCCAGAAAGAGATTCGAGCACCAAGGCCGTGCCGAAACTTGAAGGTTTTCACGTGCCGGGCCCTGGGAGGCGATACTCGTTCGACACTGTTGCGATACTTTTCTGGGTGCTCGAAATTATTTCTGGGATGTGGTCCTTACGTATGATGGGAGCAGCGTGACCTCAGGAGAGGTCGGCTGCACGTGAGAACGATTCTTCGCCGGAGTGGCCTTTGGCGCGCGGCTTTCGGGGGGGGGGTGGGGATTTGGGCGGGCAGACCCAATCACGCAGGGTGCTAATACTGTCGCATCGCATGCAGCGATCCGCAATCCGCGCACCAGAGGTCACTCCTTATTCTGTACTGGGATCGTTCTTGCGTGCAGCCGACGAGATCCAGGGAGTAGCGGCATCAGTATCTTGCTCCGGAGTTGCCACATGTGCATTTGTCCCAGAGTGTCCCCAAGATTCCCTGGGAGGCTCTCCACAACCTTTACGTCGGGTTTGTCCCTCTACAGGGGAAATTGTTTGAAACATAGGCTGGGGACGTTTTCTGTAATATTTTTGAGCATTTTTTAATTTATTCATTTTCCGTCCAAAAACCGCATTTCGGAGGACATGCCCGACCTAATTCTACGCCTCCCAGATGTGGTCGAAGTAGAAGTGGTCGGAGGATCGCGCCGCATCGCCGATGCCTAGGCGAGGCGGCTCGGTGTGGAGCCCGTTTCACTCCACGCCGACGTCGCCGACGCGTCGCCGACGCGTCGCCGACGTCGCCGACGCATCGCCAATGCGCATCGGTCGATGCTGTATCGACGATGTGGCGCGGTCCTCCGACCCCATCTGCTCCGACCCCAAGGGCGCCCTCGAGGGCGCGAAGTTATTCGCGCTTCGCGCTTCGCGGTTCGGCTCCGATTCCTCCTCATCCTCCCCTTCTCCCCTGGGAGGCGGCGCGAGAGCGCGAAGTTATTCGCGCTTCGCGCAGCGCGCAGTGCGATGCGCGAAGTTGGGAGCCCTTGTTTGTTCTCCCCCAGAGGAAGCACTTCAACATCTCCTTCCCCATCTGCGGAGCCAAAGCCTTCGCGCCCACCTGCCCCGTCGAGGGCCGCCGCGCCGCGCGCCGGGCTGCGCGCGATGCCGGTGTCCGCGGGTTCGGTCGGTTAGGCCGCGACTCAGTCGGCTGCCTGCTGTCAGTTCGGTTCGGTCGGCTCTCGCGTCGATGCCGCGTCGCTCCTCAGCAACGTCTATCCGATCTCCATCCCTTCCGGGCCTTTCCGGGCCTTCGTGTCTCGGCCCCGCCGTCCCAGTCCCGCAGTAGGGCATATAGGCTCCTCGAAGCCCGGAGGGAACGGCCTAGATTCCCATCTGGGGGGGGGGGGGGGGAAACGGCCAGTGGAGCCAAGGTGTCAAAACCTGGCGAGTTAGGAATCTCGAGAGGTGGAGCCGCTACGGAGCTCTCGATCACCCCAGTCGGATTCCACAGCCCGAGTCTCGAGAGGTCGGAGCTCAGCCTGCCGCTCGAGCTATGATTGAAGACACTACGGTAGGTTTGCGTCGTGTCGACCAGCGGCGACCCCAGCGCGGGCGTTCGAGGTTGAATGCCGCCGGCGACCCAGAATCGATCGATGTTGAACGATCGGACGTTGCGGCAGCGGCCGATCGTTCAAGGTTGAACGATCCAGCGCGGTGTCAAAAACCAACGCTGGGGTCGGCACGACACGAACCTGCCGTATTCTTGCTCTGCAGCCTTGCTTGCTGGATGTCGAATTCCTCGAGCCAGCGGCGGTGTGCATCGGCTCAGCGATGCTCGGCGGCGCCCTCCCGGACGGCTCGCGGTCTGCTGTTTGTCGGCTCCGCTGCCGGCTCGGTCCGTTCTCGGCTGTGCCTTTGCATTTTAAGTCGGGCGATGACCTCCACAGGGGAAGGATCGTAAGAAAATAGTCTGGGGCCGATTTTTCAAGTTTTTGGTTTTGCCATTTCCGAGCATTTTTTGACTATTCTTAAGTTTCCATCCAAAATCCGCCTGTAGGAGGACACGCCCGACCTAAGCCTGTGCCGAGGGCCGCCTCGGGCGTGGGGCCTTTGGTTCCGTGCCGTGGATTTTTTTGACAGCTACTACACGGGCGACCGCGTGCCCAGCTGGGAAGACAATGAGAACCACGCTCGGGGCGTCGAGCTGCTGGGGAGCGGGTACCAGTTTGCGAAAAAGCACGTGCTCGGTGGGGAGCCGATGCACCAGATCCGCAGGATGGAGCCCCGCTTCGCCTTCGACAACGACGGTCTGGTGAGGACTCGGCCCGCTCCCTCTTTGAAACATGTTTTTTTGTTGAGAAAGCTGCCGCTTAACTTGTCCCTGAGGTCGCTACCCGAACTCCCTCTCACCGCTTCTCCCTGGTCTGGGCTTGGGCCGGGCCAGAAATTCGCCGGCCCAGCTGGCCAGAGAGGTGTCTTAAGATCTCTGGTAATTCAGAGTTGACCGTATTTCTAGTCTGCGCGCGCTTGTCGGTCCCTGGGGGCCCCTGGACGAAAAGTACCCCAGCCGATGCCCGGCCGATGCCCAGCAGGGCGCTGCAGGAGCACGCCAAGAGGGTGTCGGGACGTCCCGTACACGGCTGGAGGCCCCGAGTCGCCGAAAGATCGCTCCAAGACGCTCAAGATGGTCTCCAGATGGCGCCAGAGGCCGCGAAAAAGCCCCAAGAGAGCCTCAAGATGCTCTCCAAGAGGGCCCCAACAAGCAAGAATCGTCCCATTCCTTCGTGAAGCGTTTTTTTTCGCATGTACGACGTCTGGGGGTTCACAGCGTCCAGGACTGCCCCAGAGGTCTCCAACATCGTCCCCAGACGGCCCAACATGCCCCCAAGATGGGCCCAAGAGAGCCCAACAGGGCCCCAAGACGGCCCAAAAGGGCACCAAGACGGCCCAAGAGGCGCCCAGGACGGCCCAAGAGGGCACCAAAACGGCCCCAAGGGGGGTCCAAGAAGGGGACCAGGAACCGAAAAGTACAGCCTTCAGCCCCAAGAGGCCCCAAGAGGCCCCCAAGAGGCCCCAAGGGGCACCGAAGATGTACCCCAAGAACATTCACGAGGCCCCAAGAGGCCCCAAAACGGCCCCCAAGATGTTTCAAAACTGCCTCCCAGAGGCCCCCGAGAGGCCAACCATGAGAGCCCAACCAACATCCATGAGTCCTCTGACCCAGCACCCACCGCCTCCGAGAAAAGGCGGCCGCCCAACGGCGCGAAGCGGTTAAATAAGAACAAATAGAAAATCGCCATCACGGAAGCCAATGTGTAAATCGACCACGCATTGATCTCCTGAGTGGTGGATTATTGTTTTCATATTTGTTCTGATATCCCCCGAGCCTCCCCTAGGGTCGTCCCTCTGCGGTCCGAGCTTGAGGGCCGTGCTAGAGAATACATGGAAGTGACACGTAAGAGACAATATATAGAGAAATATATCGCCACAAAGGCAATCATTTGCAAATCCGCAACGCATTGATTCCCTGAGTGGTGGATTTACACTTGGATTTCATGTGCGGCAAGTTTTTTTTCAGGGTCTCTCGTGGGAACCGCAACAAAAATGAAAACAACAACATAAAACAAACACCTCGCCACATAGGGCATATGGTTGAACATCCAGAGCGCACATATTCCCTGTGTGGTGGATTTACCATGTATTATTTTTGTGGCTATGTGTTACTTTTTTCGTTCTTTGTCCAACAAACGAAGAGCCTCCCCTGGGGTCGCCAATCAAACGTGCTCTCACCGCTCCTCTGTGGTTGGGCTTGGGGGCTGGTCAAAAAGTTAACAACATGGACACATTTAGCAACACATCGCCGCACCACTTGCAAATTCATCACGCGTTGATTCTCTGTTGGGTGGATTTACATGTATTCTCATTGTGCCGAGATTCAGTGCTTTGAATTTGTCATCAACAAATCTGAGCCTCCAGTGGGGTCGCCAACCGAACTCCTTCATACCGCTCCTCTTTGGATTCTATGGTATCGCGCAGTATTTATCCGTTCGACACTAATACGGCGCAGTGCATTACAATGCAGTGCGGCAATGCTCTGATTTGAGCTTTGTACATGTCAGTATCCCCTCAACGCTGAACATAGGAAAGGACCCTTTGCTGATGAGTGAGCTGCAGAGTGAAGGAGACCCGGCACTGGGTGCTCAGAGTAATGCAGGATTTGTTGGGAAACGCTGACATGCATCAGTTTTACATTATTCGCAGTAACTTCTTTCTCCATCCACCTGTGCAGGTGCACGCGTGGTGTATAAGAATCTGCAATACCAAAGCTCGTTCGCGCTTTTGTCGCATGCGCATGCGGGGCTGTTCGGGGAGCAAAGGCGTCTCCTGCCCTCGCTAGGGACAACGTCAACTACAATCCAATGCAACGCAATGCAACGCAATGCAACACATTGCAGCACACAATGAGAAGTGTGTCCCAGTAGCAACACAGTGACGGGTGCGACCTCGGAGTAAAAGTGCGATCTAACCATCTTCTTGTTGCTACTGGGTAAAAAAAAGGCAACTGCGCCGTAAGGACGAACGGCAACGCTATGCAACGAATATCACTCAAGAGCCACGGGGGCGGGAGGAACAACAGGAGCAGAATGGCCATGTAACTTCGCCGCAGTGCAACGCAATGTCACAGAGTACAAGACTGCACAATACAACACAATGCACTACGATGATTATGTTATGTGAGTTTTGTACATGCCAGCGCTTCCCTTCAACGCTTACATAGGAAAGAGAAGCTATTGAGGAAGAGTGTTCTGATGAGCGAATGAGACCAGGCACTGTGTGCTCAGAGTTATGCAGTTTTTTTGGCGAAGCGTTGACATGCACCAGACCTACATAGCTCCTGTCGCAAAAGAGAATTATGTAAGCTTTAGGCAGAGTGCTGGTACGGACAAGGCTCGCACGGCATCAGCAGGGTATCATATTGCCTTGTATTAGGTTTTATTATGTTGCGCCGCATGGCATTATGTTGTACAGTGTTGCATTGAAGTGCATTCCGTTGTATTGGCAGTGTATCGCATTATATTGTGACGTATTGCACTGTATTGTACGTCTTTGCCACTCTTTAGCTCACACTGCAGCAATGGCTTCCTTCTTCATCTACCCGAGCAGGTGCACGCGTGGTGTATAAGAATTTGCATTGCACAGTTTGTTTGCACTCGCATCACACGCATCAGGGGCTGTTCGGGAAACGATACCATCTCCTGCTCTCGCTGTGGAAACCCTCAACTGCTATCAATACAATGCATGCAACGCAGTGTAAGACAGCGCGACCCAATCCACTGCAACACAATACGAGTATGATTTCGGGTGGGATGTCTACACTTCAGCACGCCCCCCTTACTTTTGCACAGGGTAAGAAAATTCCGTAAGGGCTTCGCCCCATGCCGCCGACCCCCTGTCTCGGATAATGGGAGATGCAAAAGCTAAATCATGAGGTCTGGGCACCTTCGTGAAGCAGTGTCGGGACCTGTTTGTTTTTCGACCCTGACCCTACGGATCTGCATCACGGGTGCCACCGAATTTCAGAAATGTGGCAAATCCCCTGTGTTTTGGACCCTGACCTCGCCGATCTACGTGAGGGGTGCCGCCGAATGTCAGAAATGTGGCAAATCCTTTTTGTGTTTTTTGGACCCTGACCCCGCCGATCTGCGTGAGGGGTGCCACCGAATTTTAGAAATGTTGCACATCCTCTGTGTTTTTGCACCCTGACCCCGCCGATCTGCGTGAGGGGTGCCACCGAATGTCAGAAATGTGGCACATCCTTAGTGTTTTTGCACCCTGACCCCGCCGATCTGCGTGAGGGGTGTTAGCAAATTTCAGAAATGTGGCAAATCCAATGTGTTTTTGGACCCTGACCCCGCCGATCTGCGTGAGGGGTGCCGCCGAATTTCAGAAATGTGGCAAATCCCACGCGTTTTTGGACCCTGACCCCGCCGATATGCGTGAGGGGTGTGATTTTTATGCACCCCAGCAATTCAACACGCTCAGGGTGTGGTAAAAATTACCATTTTGGGCCTCCCCCCCTCGCGCGGTCCATCAAGAGGCAGAGCTGTAACAGTGGAAACTGGAAGCTGCAACTAGTACAGGAAACTGCGAAGCTTCGGCCTACAGCCTGGTGGCCCCACAAGGGGGGCCGGCGGGTAATGTTACGCAGGGAGCAAGTTATTTGCACTCAGAGCTATGTGAACTTGCTTGGGATGTGATGAATCAGGAGGGAAAAGGCACAATTAATCGTCGATCCCAGAAATGTTGGAAGTGGGGGGGTGGATTACAAAAGCCGAGAAAATATAGGAAAATATGGGAAATCCTGTTATTTGGATGTATTTATTTGTGTGTCCCAGGGCCCCCTTCAATGAAACGCATTTAAGCTTATCTAACCTCATGTCGCCCTCAGAGGACCCACGAGACCGCCAGCACGCGTCCCCAGACCCCCAGTAAGCTCCAAGCTGCCCTCAGGAGGCCCAACATCTGCTCAACAGGCTCAGCAACTGGTTCCCAAAAAGGCAAAAGGCTTCACCCACGGATTTCGTTTCTTCCACTGGGGGTCGGCGGAATGACTGCGCCACGTGAGTCATTCCTGTCGCCAGAAGGTTACGTAAGTATTTGGGGACGTACTGACATGTATAAAGCTTACATGCCAGGGTTTTCGTATTGCATTATATGGTCTTGCGTTGTGTTATCGTGTATCGTGTTGAATTGCATAGCCTTGCGTCGCATTGCGATTTACAGTCTGGCTTTGTATCGCATTATGTTGTAGCGTATCGGGTTGTATTTCAGTGCATTGCGTCGTGTTGTACGTCATTGTCACTCTTCGGCTCATTCTTCAGCAATAACCTCCTCGTCCCTCTACTTGTGAAGGTGTACGCGTGGTGCATAACGTGAGAGCAATAGTGATCACACGAATACGCTCTGGAAAGCAATAACGTATCCTGCTCCCGCTAGGGACATCGTCGAACACAATCGAACGCAACGCAATGCAAAACACTTTACTCCAATGCATCGCACCACAATGCGATGCAATTGGATTGTGGTGATGCTGTGGCAGGGAGAGCAGCCCCCCCGAACCAACACTGGGCGGGAGCCAAGCGATGCTTCAGGGGCAGCCCCGTTGGAGAATAAGCGTGAGGAGGAGGGGGAGGATGAAGAGGAGGAAGAGGAGGAGGAGGAGGAGGAGGAGGAGGAGGAGGAGGAGGAGGAGGAGCATTCAGGCCCGTCCCCGAATCACCCCTGGGTAGGAGCCACGGATACTTCAAGGGTAGCCCTGTAGGAGGATGAGGATTAGGATGAGGATAAGGATGGAGATGGGGACGAGGAGGACGAGGAGGACGAGGAGGCGCAGGATAATGATGATGCTGATGATGATGATGCTGATGATGATGATGATGATGATGATGATGATGATGACGATGATGATGCTGATGCTGATGATGATGATGATGATGATGATGAGGATGACGATGATGATGATGATGATGATGATGATGATGATGATGATGATGATGATGATGATGATGATGATGATGATGATGATGATGATGATGATGATGATGATGATGATGATGATGATGCTGATGATGATGATGATGATGATGATGATGCTGATGCTGCTGATGATGATGAGGAGGAGGAGGAGGAGGAGGAGGAGGATGGGCAGGAGGAGGAGGGGGAGGGGGAGGAGGAGGAGGACGACAAGGACGAGGAGGAGGAGGAGGAGGAGGAGGAGGACCAGTGTAAACCCAAGACTCATCAGCGATATTGCAACACTCCCTCTCTCCAAGCTCCCTCTCCATAGGCCCATATAAGAATTCATTTTCAGAGGAACAAGTGCCTGGCTGGAACACAACCGTCTGAACATTCTCAGCTGTGCCAGAACACCATTCCTGGGATCCCACCGCCGCGAATGACCGTTACTGTTGCGTCTCGACGGTCCTGAATCGTGTGGTAACACCATTCCTGGGAGTTCAACACCACGAAACAACGTAATTATTTCGCCCTGACATTCCGACATCATGCCACCGCACAATATTTGGGACGTTCACCATTGGAACACTTGGAGTTGTTGCAAAGTGTTAAAACGCATGTGTGCGGCGCTGAGGCGAGAAACACCCTTTGAAGAGGTGCCGCCCTCCAGCCGTGAAACTTGTACAATGTGTTATGACGGATTTGCGCGGCGCCCAGGCGAGAGCCACGTTTCGAAAACGGCTCGTCTTCCATCCGTTGAACTGCTGCAGTTTTTCGACGAATGTGCGTGGCGTTGGTGCGAGAGCCACATTTTGAAAATGACCCGCCGTCTATCGGTGAAAGTCTCGTTGCTTTTTCAAGACGGAGGTGCGCGGCGCTAAGGCGAGAGCCACATTTTGAAAATGACCTGGCTTCCACCCGTGAAGTTGTTGCATGTGTTTAAGACGGATGTGCGCGGCGCTCAGGCGAGAGCCACATTTTGAATGCCATTCGTGACACCGCTGCAGATGTTCAGCTTCGGGCGAAACGCCTGGCCCGCCTTCCGGACTAGCCTCGGGGTGCGACAAGGACGAGGAATGAAGGAGGAGGGCGAGGTGCCAGGGGGGGGCGGCGGAAAGAGAACAACGGAAGGAAGGGTGAGCAGGATGATGATGATGAGGAGGAGGAGGAGGAGGAGGGGGAGGGAGGGAGGGAAAGATGAGAGCAGAGTTAGCAGGAGGAGGACGACGACGCGGGACAGGAGACGCAGGATGCGACAAGCACGTCGGCGAGCAGCTTGCCGATGACGACCGCGAGGTAGATCTCAGGAGGGGCCGCAAGCGCATCCACGTTTGGAGTCAGCCAGTGCGCCTCATCTCATTCCGTCGGAGTAGGAGGAGGAGGAGGAGGAGGAGGAGGAGGAGGAGGAGGAGGAGGAGGAGGAGGAGGAGGAGGAGGAGGAGGAGGAGGATGAGGAGGAGGAGGGAGGAGGAGGAGGAAGGAGGAGGAGGAGGAGGAGGGAGGAGGAGCTCCTCCTCTCGAGGGGGGCCTGGCCTAGCTCCTCCCCGCGGGCCGGCCTTCGGCCGCCTGCCCCCAGCCTGGCGAGGACGTCTTGGCGCGGCTTCTCGTGGTTCGGGCCCTACGACGTCAAATACGCCTCCAACGGCGTGCACGGCGTCGGGGTCGTCGACAGGCTCCTCCACCGCTTCAACACCAAGGATCCATCGCTGGAGGATGTCCATTTGCGCGGCTCCGGAGTCGTGCCCAGGAGCGGCGGTCATGGAGCCGTGGATGTTGGTGCGCCCGTGGAGGCAGGAAGACATCCAGTCTAGATTGCTCGCTAGGGACCCAGGGCAAGACTCCGGAGGTGTGGATGTGAATATGTGCTTCCTGGTGGTGCAGAGGACGCTCTTGGCGTTCTTATGACCGACAGCGTCTTCTCCGCGCACCTGACCTACACGGCCAGCGATGCCTCTTTCCATTTGGACCTCAGCTCGCTGGAGAAGTACGCGCCCCTCCCAGGCTACGCAAAGCTGGGCGGCGGAGCCCGCTTCTCGTTTGCCGGCGGCCGCCTCAAGACGGAGGAGGTGCACTTTGGAGGGAAGTCTTACACCCCCAGCGAGGACAACCACGACCAGGCTAACAGGGCCTTTCGGCAGAACCGGCTGGAGGGCTGGCGTTATGCCGAGAAGGCGGTGATCGCCTCGCTGCTCAGCATGACGAATCTCGAAGAGTAAATGGCTGCACAGACATGAACCTTGAGAGCTTCGTGCGGATTTCTCGGGACGGCGCTGGACCCTCCCCCTTGTCAGCCCAAGGGTTAAGTCGGGCACGTCCCTCTACGGGAGGAATATTCAAAAAGAGTAAAACATTAGTCATATAAATATGCCTAAAGAACAACTACATATGTGTTTTTTCGATCATTTTCTTTGTTTCGTCCAGAATCCGCCTGGAGGGGGACACGCCCGACACGTCGCTCCACGAAGTCCGCGCGGACCTCTCAAAGTCGATGTCTGTGCCTTTCTCTATTCTTCTGGAGTCTGGTCTTGCACGTGAAGGACTGGGCGACGAGATCTACCTACAATTCGAACCGCATGGTAAGGACGAGCACCCTCCCCAAGGGTACCTCTGCGTCGCTGCCTCCTCGGTTCATCCTTGGCCACTTTCGCTGACCGCGCCCGAGGTGGCCTTCCGAGGTCCCTGCATCCTCCTCGTGCATTTTTTTTTTTTTTTTTTTTTTTTTTTAAACACATATTAAAACAAATCCTCCTCGTGCATCCTTGCGATACGGGTCGATGGCACATTCGCCGCCCCTGGCCAGGCGCATCCCCGGGGCCCAGGAGCGGTGCCTTAACATGCCTCCGCGGCCAAGCCGGGGGGGCGCCTGCGCCGCTCCTGGGCCCGGGGATGGGCCCCGCCAGCGGAGTGGGATGTGCAGGCAGATCTCGTTCGGGGGCGGAAAAGAGGGGGGTGATGACTAGGGGGGGTGGATATCATGGCGTGGGCCATGATATTTCCCCAGATTTCATGGCGCCCCTTCTTGTTTCATTACGTCCCTGGCCGCTCCGCTGGGCCGCGCACATGCCGCCGGTCATGATTTGCACCCCCCCCTCTTGGACACCCCCTTCTTGGCCGCTCCCGACTCGTCGCCCTGCCAGGACCTTCACCTCGAGTTGGCGGCGGCCTTCCAGGCCACGACCGTGGATGCGTTCGCCAGCGACCCCTCGAATCCGGTCCGGCGGCTCCTCGACCCGTTCATCCACCGCTCGGTGCAGGCCACCAACGACAATTTCCGCCTCCTCTTTGACTACAAGGCCGTCGAGCTGTTGCTGACACATGGAATGGGATATGTTTGCCAGCGTGGGCGCCAAACAGTGAGCTTCGCACTCTGGTGGTGGAAGCTATATGGTGGAGGCTAGGTGGTGGAAGCTATGTGGTGTAAGCTCCGTGATGTAAGCTATGTGGCGGCAGCTATGTGGCAGAAGCTCTGTGTGGCAGCGCTTCGCGTCCACAGAAGTGCTGCTGACAGAAGGCTGTGTCACACTGAATGGGGCCCGCCCTACCGACTCGTTTGAGAGTGCGACAGGGAGGAGTTATCTGTAAAGAGGAGGAGGAGGAGGAGGAGGAGGAGGAGGAGGAGGAGGAGGAGGAGGAGGAGGAGGCGGAGGAGGAGGAGGAGGAGGAGGAGGACGAGAGAGGGCCCTGACTCTCCGCGTCGTCGTGCTCCTGACCCTTCGCACCTCCCCACTGCATGCGGGGGAGCGCACGGGGTGGCGACGGGCGGCCACGGGCCGGCACGCGGCGAGGCCTCGACGCGCCCACGCGGGCGGCCACGGGCGGGAACGCGGCGAGGCCTCGGCGCACGCACGCCAGCGGCAGCGGGCGGCAGCGGGCCAGAGCGTGGCGAAGCCTCGACGCACCCGCCAGAAGCGGCAACGGGCTGCCACGGGCCTGCAGCGGGGGGCAGCGTGGCGAATCTTTGACCCACCCACTCCAGCGGCAATTGGCGGCACCGGCGGCAACGGGCGGCAACGTGGAAATCCTCGATGCACCCAGAAGCGGCAACAGGCTGTAACGGGCGGGAGCGTAGCGAATTTTCGACGCATCCGCGCCAGCGGCGACAGGCAGCGACGGGCTGCAACGGGCGGCAAAGTGTTGGATTGTGGCGAATCCTCGACGCACCCTCGCAAGCGGCAGCGAGCGACAACGGGCGGGAATGTGACGAATCCTCGTCGACGTACCCACACGGGCGGCGACGGGCGGCAACGAGTCGGTACGTAGCGAATCGTCGAAGCACCCTTCCAGTTGTTTGTGTGACAAGCAATAGCCTCCAAAGTGCAAGCATTGTATGGGGAATGTAAGCAAGACGCACTTGTATAACATATGCACAAGGCTGCGGAGTTTTCTTTGGCCCCGCTGCCCTACGACGAGCAGCTGAAGCTCATCGACGAGTCGATCCGCGAGAGGCCGCTCAACTTGGCACACCTTGACATCTCGGAGTCAGACAGAGAGAGAGAGCCCAATCAAAAGACTCGCAGACATCATGAGCACAAGGTGTTTGGAGGCTCGGCCAGATTTCTTGGGTCGGCGGCGCCAGAGGCGCGATGTGTGTGTGTGTGTGTGTGTCCACCGCCGTCCTGAGAAATCTGCGCGGACCTCCGAAAGTCTGTGTTTATGAAGGCGCTACTCGTCTAGAAGTGCCGAATGGGTACTGTCGGCCCGGATTAGTAGGTCGACCCTGCCAGCTCAAGGGTACCCTTGTGCCCTGTGCCTCGCGACACGTGCCTTCTTGCACTCCTATGCGATGCGGCCCTCGGAAGGGTCTTGTGTCCTCTCGCGTGTCCTGTCCAATCAAGGCCGACTGTAGGAGGTAGTCGTCCCTGGCGAGGGCCCGCTGCCCACCACCGCGCGGCAGTGTCGCGACCCGCCTGGACGCGGCGGCGGCCCAAACCGCTGGCGGTTTCCGGGTTCAACTCCAAGGTGGCCCAGGATCGGCTGATATCGGACGATCTGCGGGCGGAGCATGGGAGGGGTCGAGATCAGGGGAGGAACAGGTACCCATACCTCTACCTTGGTTTCGATATCGCCTTTTCGGGCCTCGGGGGAGGCCCTCGTCACCACCGCTGGATTCACCTTGAAATTCTGGCTAGAACGCATCCTGGAATAGGTCCAGGGAGTAGCGGTATCGGTACATTTTGATTTCCCCACGAGGGAGCGCCGACATGGACGAAGGCGCGTGGATTAGGGACGGGCCTCGCTTCCATGGCAGCATCGGCGCGCGCTGTCGCCGAACGAGGCGGCACTGGCCTCGCACGTCGGGGGTACCCTCCCCGATGCGCGTCAGCGTGCGGGCGGGCGGAGGCGCCGCGGCGGCGGCGCCTTGACGACATCGTACATGTGGCCGAAGGGGAACGAGGAGGAGAAGCGAACAGGATGAAGATGGGGACGGGGAGGAGGAGGAGGAGGAGGAGGAGGAGGAGGAGGAGGAGGAGGAGGAGGAGGAGGAGGAAGAGGAGAATGAGGAAGGGGAGGATGGGGATGAGGGGGACGGTGAAGAGGAGGAGGGCGGGAGGCTCGCCGCTCGCTCGCCGCGCTGCCCGGCCGGCGCGGGCGCGGGCGCCGCGAGGCGGCGCGCCGGGGCCGGCTGGGCAGCGCGAGCGGCGCGCGCGGGCGAGGTGAGGGGCGGGTTTGGCACGCAGGAGTGGAGTGAGGGGGGCACTGGCGCGCGGGCCTGCTCGAGTGAGGGAGGGTGGGAGGAGGAGGAGGAGGAGGAGGAGGAGGAGGAGGAGGAGGAGGAGGAGGAGGAACACCAGCGAAGCGAACCCCCACTGGCGACCCCGACTGGCCCAAATCGATGGGCGGTAGGGGCAATCAGGGTCAAGATGCGTAGTCCGAATGGCGGCTCGTCATCTCCAATATTCCATTCAAGGTCTCTGCTCGGCCCCTCCCTTGACCTCTTGCATCCGACATGAGGGCGAGGCCGTTTTTGAGAGGCGAATTCCATTCTGTCGATATGATCCACTATGTGCCGGCCCGTTTTCGCCCCCTCAAAGAGTTCCGACGCTCTTGATGGGGCCTTCTGATTCGTGTCTCGACTCTGAAACATGGAGAGCTATGGCTCGTCACGCGGGATGGATCCTGCATTCTCTCAGCGGTCTGCCCAGGGGCAAGACCGCATCTGGTTTTGGCGATGGCACTACCGGGCCGTCACAGTCCAGCGCCTCTTCGACGAGATGATCGGTTGCTGGCTTGACAAGAACTGCGGAGAAGGGGAGCTAGAAGAGGACACCCTGGCGCAGGGCTGGTGGCAGTCCATGATCAAGCACATCCCATCGCTGCGGAGGGCAACAGCCACCTCCCCAGACTGGGCAGGCCCGGGCGCTCTGACGAAGGACGCCCTGCGGAGAGTGCTCCGCACCCTGTTCACCTGGCTGGCCTGGGTGCACGAGGACGTGGGGCACTCTGCCGCGGCGTACGTGTACAACCCGGTCCACACGCCGATGTGCGTCCCAGAGGACGGCGATGATGATGATGATGATGATGATGATGATGATGATGATGATGATGATGATGATGATGATGATGATGGTGATGGTGATGGTGATGGTGATGGTGATGGTGATGCTGAAGCTGATGCTGATGCTGATGCTGATGCTGATGCTGATGATGGTGATGGTGATGGTGATGTTGATGGTGATGGTGATGATGCTAATGATGTTGATGATGATGCTGCTGCTTGTGATGGCGATGCTGACTATGGTGATGATGATGACGATGATGATGATGATGACGACGCTGATGATGATGATGATGCTGATGCTGGTCTGATGATGATGATGATGATGATGATGATGATGGTGATGGTGATGGTGATGGTGATGGTGATGGTGATGCTGAAGCTGATGCTGATGCTGATGCTGATGCTGACGCTGATGATGCTGATGATAATGATTATGCTCCTGATGGTACTGATGATGATGTTTGATGATGATGCTGCTGATGCTGTTGACGATGATGCTGCTGATGATGCTGATGCAGATGCTGATGCTGATGCTGATGCTAATGATGATGCTGCTGATGATGGTGATAATGACGATAATGACGATGACGATGACGATGATGATGATGATGATGATGTTGATGATGATGATGATGATGATGCTGATGATGATGATGATGATGATGATGATGATGATGATCGTGATGATGATGATGATGATGATGATGATGATGATGATGATGATGATGATGATGATGGTGGTGATGATGATGATGATGATGATGATGATGACGCTGATGATGATGCTGATGCTGACGACGATGACGACGATGATGATGATGATGATGCTGATGATGATGATGATGCTGATGATGATGATGATGATGATGATGATGATGGTGGTGGTGGTGATGATGATGATGCCGCAGCCGATGTGCGTTCCAGAGGACGGCGAGGGCGTGCCGATCCACTCGTTCGTGTTCAACGCCCTGGCCTACCGAGGCTTTGTGTTCCTGGAGCGCGCGAAGCTTCTGGACGAGCCCCCCAGCTTCTGGTTTGGCGGCCAGGGGGACAACCAGTGTTTCGCGGACTTCCAGGACACTGGGTTGGCATGTGGATCCAGGAAGGGTAAGCGAACACCGCCACTTTCCCTGGCCAGAGCCAGTCTGGGCCTTGTCATGTTGCAGAAGCGATCCTGGTCGATCGAGGCCAGGAGGTTGCATGCACCATCCCTGGGCCCAGGGCGTGTCTGCCTAGGGGTGGTGGTGGTGTGTAATTGCTGCGTCCAGATCTTATCTGTGCCGGCGTGGACCCCGCTCAGCAATATTCTGCACCTTGGATGCGCAATTTATACGGTGCAAGCTACGTGCTGCACTCTGAGGCAATTGATTTTGAAAGTACTGAAGTCATCAACTCCAATGTTCGAGCAAGCATCCCACCCACCCACCTTGGGCTCGTTTCGATTCCTCCGATTCGATTCGATTCGACTTCGATGGCTTCCGACTCCGATTCGATTCGATTTGGGATTCCGATGTGGGCTCCGATTCCTCACTGGTGGCCTACTAGCCTGCCGATTTCTGCCGATTCGACTTCTCCCGACTTGGCTGCCGATTTCCGCCGATCCGATTCATTTCGATCGTCGATCCGACTTGTCACTTCGATTCTGGGCTCTCCTGCCCACCCACCCGCAACTTGTCAGCAAAGCTCAGCTGATACCATGGCGCGGGGACCCTTCTCCTGCAGATGCAGAACTCGGGTGGGCGAGTGAGGATAGTGACGACGACATTGGCGACGGCGAAGGCGAGGATGATACGTATGATACTGATGATGATGGTGATGATGATGCTGCTGGTGATGATTCTGATTCTGCTGATGATGATAGTGGTGATCGTGCTGGTGGGGCGCTGATGTCTAGGTTGACGGCAATGGCCTGTCGATGATGATACTGACGGTTGTGGTGATGACGATGACCATTGTGATGGTGACGCAGACCACGATGCTGAGGATGATGATGATGATGATGTCGATGATGATGATAATGATGACGGTGGCAATGCTGACAGTTGCGATCATTGAGTGATTGTGTTGTCGAGGATTGCGATGTGGCGCGCACTCACCGATGTTGGCAGATGTGCGATGGAGCAACAGTCACTTTCGTACTTTCCGGTTGAAGCACCATCCGTTTTTTTTTGTTTCTTTTTTTATAAAAAAGCAGAACTTTTTTGGTTTTGCAATGATTTCGACATGCGCGCGCGGAGGCACGCGCGTTTGGCTCACATCGCATCTTTGTTGACACAAGTTGTGGGTGCGCGATGCTTGTTTGATGATTTCGAAATGCGCCTGCTCGTGTTCCGTATGTTTTTTATTTGACCGAATGGGACTCTGTTTAGTGTGAAGGCCACACGCTTTGAAGAGCACGATCTTGAGTATGTTAGAACACAAGTTGTGCTTTACTGGCTTTGGCATGTGCGCGCGGGGACGCGCGCGTGTGACCCGCATAGTGCCATCGGCAAGGCATTTACAATATCAAAGTGGGCGCTCCTCTTCGTGTTATTTGAAAGGGATGAGGGGGAGTGCCGGTAAGGGGCCTGGTCGGGGTGGGCGGGGCCTGTATTTTTTTCGCGGACGGGCGGTCGTCCAGAGAATAGAAATTATGAGCAACCAATTTTCGGAGTTGGGTAGTTAAGTCCAACCTCGGAATGGGGTGCATCAGGTGCATACATAATATAAAATTGACAATTTGGTGCAGCCAATCTGATGCAGTTCACTTTTCTGCAACACTTGAAGTCGTCAACTTATCGCGTACTCACCCTACCCTCCCACCTGCAACTTGTTTTCCCCAACCCTTGCGGCCGCGATTGCGGTTACTATGAGGCACTTGTTGGCGCATCTCTGCGGCTGCGCTAGCGCGCGCGAGCCCACGCGCAGAGCTCTGTGGCACTCCCAGCCAGGTGCTTTGTGATGGGCCTGTCTTCCACCACCACCACCACAAGTTGGAGGTGGAAGGAGGAGGAGGAGGAGGAGGAGGAGGAGGAGGAAGAGGAGGAAGACCCCCTCCCCCTCCTGCAAGTGGTAGCGGTGGTGGAGAATACGCCCACCGCTTTGGGAAGCAGACGCGTGCGAACCTCTCAGTGCAGGCGCTGTTTGGGGAAAGAGCCTCAGAGGAGAAAACCATTCCGACACCGATGCCCGTGCACCGTGTTCGCTCGCTCCGGCCTCCCAGGGTGCCCTCGTCGCCAGGGCTGCGTTCACGGCGTGTCAAGCTGTGGCGGCGAGGGCGTGGGATTCAGTCGGGTTTGTCACTCTACAGGGGGAATATGCAAAAATAGTAAAACATAGTTTTGGGATGATTTTCTTTAGTGATTTTTGACCTGTTTATGGTGTGTGTGAATATATATATATATATATATATATATATATTTAAAGCATTTTTTCGCCCAAAATCCGCCTGTAGGGGGACATGCCCGACCTAATACTGGGATTCTGGTGGCGTTTCCAGGGAGGCGACGAGCCACGGCCGAATTCGCATCGGCATCCTGGTCGAACGCGCCCTAGGAGAGGCTTGGGGAGCATCGGTGTCGGTACGTATCTGGTTGTTGTTCCCCCCAGGCCCCGCCCCGCCAGGACGAGTCTGCAACAAGTCCGGGAGGTGCTCTGTCAGTCGCAGAATTCTCTTTGATGTTTCAGAAATAGAGGAAGAACGCAGAACGCTGGGCCAGTGAGTAACGGAATGCAAGCATTGAGAAACAACAGCGTCTCCAGGATGCCTTGCGGGAGCTTGGGCGCTCGGACCCAGCATTCTCTGAGTGCGACAATGATGGGTTTTATTCGTGCGTGGACCGCATCGAGACCGCGGTGAGCAGCTGAGGCGTGCCAGGATACGGCGCTCTGAGATTTCACTCTCTCGAGGACAAACCAGTCCGTTTGAGCACAAGTTTTCGGAGGTCCGCGCGCATTTCTTGGGTCGGCGCTGGGCCCCCCCTGGCTTCGCCTCTGGCGCCGCCCTTGGCGCCCTCCGTGCGTCGGGGCGTGGGCTCCAGCGCCGTCCCACGAACTCCGCGGGGAGCGATGCCCGTGCTCGAATCGCACGCATCGGGCAGCTTGGTGACCTGATGTTTGTTCCTTTGCGCGAGGGCACCGGGCAAGCTTCTTCTCGTTCGCAGTGCGATCTGGTCCGCTTGCCGCGTAGAGCAGCAGTTGGGCAATGTTGTTCGCTGTGTGAGTGCTGACCTTAGCCTGCGGAGCTACTCTCAGCCTCTGCGCACAGAGTACACTGATCAGGAATAAGTGTGCCTGGGCAGCTGTCAGCTCAGAGGGGGGTGGGGGGAGGGGGGAGGGCTTCTTAGAAGCACCCCTGCTTCTAAGAAGCCCTCCCCCTCCCCCCACCCCACTGTCCGCGCCGCCAAAGCTGTGAAGCATCGGTCATGCATACGTCGGTGCCTGTACACTGAGCATGGGGGCCCAGGGCGCTTCTACTTTGCTCAACTCTGGGTGCGGCCCATCCGTGTACCTACAGCGTATACATGTTCACAGTCCTGGTGCCAGCAGGGGTCATTGCTCTGGTAGGCAGTGCAGGGAGCATCTGAGTCCCATGTGCACCTCCTGCTCTCTCTCGCGATGGCAAACTTTCCGAAGTCATCTTGTTATGACCTCCATGCGCCATGTGAGAGGGACTTTCGCCACATTGAAAAGCACGAGGTGCACTTGTCTTGTCCTCCTCCGCCTCCCCAGGTGCAGGAATAGATGCAAGAGCAGAAGGAGGTGTGGGGGGAGGGACTCCGTTCGCACCGGCCTTGCAGCAGTCTCCGTGCCACGATGTTATGTTGGCCGCCAGCGGCAGCATCATAAGAGGACCCACGACCAGGGAGGCGTTTGGACCTCCCAAGAAGCACTCGGCGGCAAGGCATCGTCGGACCTGTCCGCAGGCCGCACGACTTTGGCCTTGGCGGAGCACATGCCATGCCTCCTCCTCTCAGGAGGGAAAAGCACAATGAACCGTCGATCCCCAGGACCATGTGCGCGAAACTGTGGGAAGTGGGGGGGGGAAGACGAAAATCCAACAGATCTGGAAGCATGTGGGGAATCCTGGGATTCGTGTGTATTTCTTTGCGTGTCCCTGGGCCCCTTCCCGAAGGGTTTCTCCGAAGGGCTTAGGCGACCCGTCCTCCTCTTTCCTCCTCCTCCTCCACCTCCTCCTCCTCCTCCTCCTCCTCCTCCTCCTCCTCCTCCTCCTCCTCCCCCTTCTCCTCCTCCTCCTCCTCCTTTTCCTCCTCCTCCTCCCTCCTCCCCTGGGCTCCCCCTCCTCCACAATTACTCAATATGAAAATACTCTCCCTCTTCCCCTGATGGCGTCCGGGTGATGGCCGCGCACCCTCCGCGTATTGTTTTTTTACACACAGGATTCCCGGGAAATCCCGGGAAACGACTCTCGCTGAGGCGCCGGCGTCATTTTTTCCCAAAATGCTGCTCTCGTTGAGGCGCCGGCCTCATTTCTGCTCCCGAATCGTTCCGAATCGTGCTCCCGCTGCAGCGTGGGCCTCATTTTCGGATCGGTGTTTGGCCTCCGTCGTTCAGGATGGCGTTCTCGCCCCAGCGCGGGCCTTTTTCTCGCGCGCCCATCCGCCCGCCACCACCGCGCCGCACCGCCACCACCACCACCACCACCACCACCCACCACCAGCACAAGCATCAGTACCAACACGCCCCCCGCCCGCACCACCGCGCCGCACCGCCACCACCACCACCACCACCACCACCACCACCACCACCCACCACCACCACCACCACCACCACCACCACCACCACCCACACCACACACCCACACCACACCACACCACACCACCACCACGCAACCACGCACACACGCACGCACGCACGCACGTGCACCACCACCCACTACGCACGCGCGCGCGGAGCCACAGGTCCGCTACGACACGCGTCCGCGGATAGAGAAAATCAGCGCCATGGTAAGGGATGGGAGGGAGGGGTAGGACGTCAGATATGACGCGAGAGCACCTAGCGTGTCCTTCTCCCCCTCCTCCTCCTCCTCCTCCTCCTCCTCCTCCTCCTCCTCGCACAGGTCTCGTGGACGGCTTTCCTGCCTCGGGGACGCCTCCCCGTAGCTGCGCCTGCCGAGCGCGCTCCCGGGGAGAGCCCGCACCGCCCCGACCAGTCCCACGCTGGTGACTGCCGCTGGCCCGAAGTCGGGCCTGTCCCTCCACAGGAGGAACATCCAAAAATAGTCAAACATAGTATAGGGACGATTGTCTAGGGACGAAAAGATAGTACAGGGACGATTGTTGGACAATGTTCGAGTAAGAGTTCGACAATTCGGATGAAACAAATGGTATAGGGACCATTTTTCTACAGGAGGAGTATCCAAATAGTCAAAGATAGTATAGGGACGATTGTTTCGGGGCGAAAAGATAGTATAGGGACGATCGTTTGACAATTTTCGTTTAAGAGTTTGGCAATTCGGACGAAACGATGGTAGAGTACGATTGTTCTACAGGAGGAATATTCAAAAATAGTCAAAAAAAGATAGTATAGGGACGATTTCTGGATTACTTCCGAGTATAGTTTGGAGTTTTTTTTCAGTTTTTAAATTTCGGGTAAAAGATGATCGAAAATAGCCAAACAATAAACGATTTTCTGACTATGCTCGAACATATGTTGGAGCATTTTTTGGCAATTTTGATTTCTTGTCCGGACTCCCCCTGTAGGGGCGCAGGCCCGACCTAACGCTTGCCCCTTCCTCCGTTTCAAGAGCGGTCAACGTATCCAGACCCACGCCCTCGCGGTCTAGGTTCTGGGGCGCGATCCCGCGGATACGCGGTCGCACGGATACGCTCCGCGCGGGGCCTCCGCGAAGAAACGCCTAGTGTCCGCGGGTCCGGCGAAGACCTATGCACATGCACCGATCCTGGCAAGGCCCATCCTTGACCCAGGGTCGGTGCATCTGCCTTCCTGGCCAAGGTAGGAGGGCCTATGCACCGATCCTGGGCGCAGGATGGGCCTGGCCAGAATCGGTGTATGTGCATAGTTCTTTTTCCTCCAGCGGGGTCGCGGCCTGGGGGCCTGGCCCGCGAGGCCGTGGACCAGTACGCATCTGATTTTCGCCCCCGACCGTTGCCCTCTTTGGCACCTCCCCGCCGGCCTCCCGAGGCGTGCCCTCCTTCGAGGTCAAGGCCTCCGCGCCGGCTCGCTTGGAGGCGCGCTGGAGGGCGGGAGGAGGAGGAGGAGGAGGAGGAGGAGGAGGAGGAGGAGGAGGAGGAGGAGGAGGAGGAGGAGGAGGAGGAGGAGGAGGAGGAGGAGGAGGAGGAGGAGGAGGAGGAGGAGGAGGAGGGAGGGAGGAGGAGGAGGAGGAGGAGGAGGAGGAGGAGGAGGGGGAGGCGGAGGAGGAGGAGGAGGAGGAGGAGGAGGAGGAGGAGGAGGAGGGAGGAGGGAGGGAGGGAGGAGGAGGAGGAGGAGGAGGAGGAGGAGGAGGAGGAGGAGAAGGAGGCGGAGGCGGAGGAGGGGGAGGAGAGGAGGAGGAGGAGGAGGAGGAGGAGGAGGAGGAGGAGGAGGAGGAGGAGGAGGAGGAGGAGGAGGAGGAGGAGGAGGGGGAGGGGGAGGAGGAGGCGGAGGAGTCCCAAGTCCAGCTGCCCCAACCGAACCCAGACGGAACGGGAGGAGGAGATGAGGGGTCTCCTGAGAGCCTCTTAGAGGCATCTTAAGGGGCCTCTTGGGGGCCTCTTGGGGCATCCTGGGCACCTCTTGGGGCCCTCTTGGGGCACCCTTGGGGGCCACGCGGGTCATCCTGGGGCCATCTTGAGGGAGATCCATCAGAGGCGTGGGACTCCTTAATTAGCCCCCTCTCCCCCAGGAGGCCAACATATGGCCAAAACTTGAGTGCCATTTTGATGAAACCAATGATTTCGGCCTTCCCGCGAAGGCGTCTTTGGGCGTTGTGGGTGCCTCTGGGGGGCCCCTTGGGAGCCTCTTGGGGGCATCTTGGGGGCCTCTTGGGGGCCTCTTGGGGGCCTCTTGGGGGCCTCTTGGGGGCCTCTTGGGAGCCTCGGGGGTCATCTTGGAGCCACCTTGGGAGGAGATCGGTCAAAGGAGGGGTCTCCTTAATCAGCGTTGCTTCCCCCCTCCCCCCCAGGAGGCCAACATGTGGCCAAAACAACGTTGGTCACATCGAGGAGTTTGGCCTTCTCGCCGAGGTCATCTTGGACGCTCCAACCCCTCGCGGAACGCCCCCTCCAAGCCCAGGGGGATGGGATAGGGGAGGGGTAAACCTTTCCCCGAATGGGAAGAGGGAAGAGGGAAGAGGGAAGAGAAACGCTTTACGCCATTCACGCACGAAAAGGGCTGGTGGGATTTATTTGTCATGCGGGAAGTGCCCCCGTGGAAGGCAACCTTCTGAGAATCTCCATCCGTGCCACAGAGCCATTTCTGGGACTTCAACGCCGCGAATCGAAGTGACTGTTGCGTCCTGACAAACCTAAACCGTGCCCGAACACCATTCCTGGAACTCTGATGCCGCGAGGCAACATGATTCTTGCATCCTGGCAATGCTAAGCCGTGCCATAACACCATTCATGGGACTTCAACCATACGAACCCTCGAAACTGTGACAAACATGAAAGACGCATGTGCGCGGCGCTGAGGCGAGAGCCACACTTCGTAAACGTGCTGCACTCCATCCATGTAAGCGCTGTAAGCTTTTGAAGTGAATGTGCGCGGCACTTAGGCGAGAGCCACATTTTGCAAACGTGCCGCCTACCAGCCTCGAAGGTGTTGCAAGTTTCAAGCTTCAGGATCATAAATGGTCCGGAGGTCTCAGGCGCAACGCCAGGCCTGCCCTACCGACTCGTTTGAGAGTG